TTAAGTCTAAATACTTTTTTTACTCATAAATTGATATATGTCTATATTTTATTTTTTATTCTTATGCTTTTTTTTATGGATCGAAGCTCAAAGAATGCATACAAACTAATATTCCTCCTAGGTTAACTAATAATTTATATGCCTGCATTGTTTACATAAAGTATTGGTTAGACTTTATACATCATTTATAATTGTACAACAAAAATGAACATATGATTACAATATTTGTAATTCTAATGTAATGTTTAAAACATGATTACCTTATTATTTAAAAGGTTTCTTATATGACTATTGTTATTATAGGGTTAGACCTGATCGATCGGGTATGACATATGTTGAGTAGAATAGACCGATCGAGTACGGAAAAGGACTTTGTAGTTGTTCGGTCATGACAACAGTTGAATAGAGTTAAAACGCAATCAATACGATAAATGTTATTGATGACTGATTAAGGCTGACATTAATGACCATTAAAAGATAAATTAATTAGTCAAATTATTGTAAACTTTATAAATAAAGGTTTAGTTTCGAAGTAAAAACACTTTTTCCATAATTGAATTATGTTAGACTTCCAGAGAAAAATTATGACTTGAGCGTCAGATACCGATGACAAAAAAATTCGCGGATAAAATCCGCGATGGATAGCTGATACCCGCGGATATTTAGTACCCGCGAGTTGCGGGTAGCGAGTTTTTTAATACCCGCTTATAAACGGGTCGGGTACGGGTATTATACTATACGTACCCGCGGATATCCGTTACCCACAAAAAATAAAAATAAAAATTTAGTTTATATTTTATTAAGTTAAATTTAATTAAAATTAACATTAATTTATATTTTATAAAGTTAAATATAATTACAATTAAATTTTAATTTATATTTAATTTAATATATATTATATTTTATATATTTTTTGTAATTTTATTTAAGTTTTATTATAATATTTTATAATAATATATTTTTTTAAATATTTGCGGGTATCCGTGAGTATCCACGGATATCCGCAGGTTTTAAAATATCCACAGGTATTTTTTAAGTAGATATCCGTGCGGGTAGCGGGTGAAATTTTTTTTGTCGGATCAGGTTGCGGGTAGGCATTATTCTACCCGACCCGACCCGACCCGTTGTCATCCCTAGTGTTAGGTCGTCCAGAACACAGAGAAATGCTATATATAGGGGTTTGCTAACGCGTACGCCTGTTTTTCAGTTGGTACATTTTAGCAATGTGTATCGGATTTTAGTAGACAAAAATACCCTTATATATCATGGATTTTAAGTTTTAAGGTTAAGGGTATTTTAATAATTTTCATTCTCAAAACTTAAAAAAAAAGAAAAAACCCCAAACACTTACTCACCTCTCTCATTCCTCTCAATCCTTTCTCTTTCATCTCTCTCACTCGCACCTTTTCTCTGTCATTCCTACTGTAGCCCCAATTGAAAAAATCAGAAACACTCCTTTAAAAAATTTGCCTTTGTAGAGAGTTGAGTCATTGACATATTCACCTTCAAGCAAAGGTTCATTCAAGATCTCTTCAATTTCACCATCTTCACTAACCTCTCTAATTTCATCATCTGCATATGTTGAATCATTATAAAGTCATTTTTTTATGTCATTATGCTTGTGAAAATTAGATAAAATTATATATGACAAAAATTATAAAATGAAAACTCATTATAAAGTCATTTTTGTAAGAAATTGTTTAACAAGGAGTGTTTCTGATTTTTTTACAGGCCAATTACCAATTCCTTTGATGTCATTATGCTTGTGAAAATTAGATAAAATTAGATAAGACAAAAATTATAAAATAAAAACTCATTATAAAATCATTTTTGTAAGAAATTGTTTAACAACGAGTATTTTTTATTTTTTCCATGTCAATTACCAATTCCTTTATGCTTGTCAAAAGTGGATAAAATTATATAAGACAAAAATTATAAGATGAAAACTCATTATAAAATCATTTTTTGTAAGATTGTTTCCGACAAGTGTTTCTGATTTTTTTAATTTGGGCTACACTACAGTAGTAGGATGACAGAGAAAAGATTGGAGTGAGAAAGATGAAAGAGAANATTTTATGACAACCAAATTAATTCCACCATGAGATTACAATTTTTCTTAAAGTTAACCTTAGGTATAAATGTGTTTTTGTCTTCTAGAGTCACACTAACATAAACATACACCAAAATCATGAAGTACTACAAATAAGAAAAAAACAGTCATATATACATGTTTTTCCCTTCAAATATCTAGTTATATGTTTAAGTCATGCAATAAATATCCAACATTTATGTTTTTTTTTGTCATTCTTTTCAAATTAGACTATATGATTATAATGATTGTGATTGACCTTCCTAACTACACTTTCTAATAATCACTTAATACGAATAAATTTTTCTAAAATACATCAAACACCATAGGAGATATTTGTGTCTCATCCTTTGATAAGTCAACAATAACACAATTACTATTTGTTTCTATCATGATTGGATCTTATCAACATCATTTTTAGTTGTTGTATGGCATTTTTCGCTCATATATGTTTCAAAATAGTTAAAATGGAAAGGTGTTCAAAATTTATAAAAAATTAATTAAGAAATAATTTATTAAAATCGGTATAATTTTAAAAATCGAATAATTAGTTTTTAGTTTTTAAAATCTCAATTAAAACCATGTTTGTCTTTTAAACAAATTTTTAACTTAATTTAGTAAGATTATTGTTTAATACCTTTTAATATTTTTTTAATTATAATTGGATCATAGTACTTAAAAACTTAAACAATGTATTTAGTTTCATTTACCATATTAAAGCTCAAAGAACCCTAAATAATTTAAACAACTCTCATTGTTAAAAAAACTCAATATGCTCTTACAAACACAAAATCCTAATCAGGGTACGTCGTTAGAAATACTGATTAGTAAATAATCTAATGGAAGACGAGGATGATATATGCAATAGAGCTAAGCTCACATGCATAATGAAACATAGAAAAGTGAAGAAAAAAAATATAAATTAATTTACCCTTTTACAATTGATTTGATAAGAATGAAGACCTTGTCGTGATTACTTAGACACTTTCTGATTTTTTAATAGCTCAAACAGTTAGAACACTAAGAAAAATAGTAGAAATCCTTAAAGAACAAGTTTTAGAGATGATATATGTTTTAAGTAATGAAACTCATTATAAAAAATTCTATTTATTCTATTTATTCTTTTAGCTTTTTAATATTAAAATAACACAATCTAATTATTTATATATTTTTTAAAATAAATACTTATCTTTATGTTTTGTAAATGATACTAATATTTTTTATATTTTCAGTAAAACAAAATTTATCTTCTTTATTTTATAAATAAATAAAAGTAGAATGATTTAACAACAGGAAATTATTCTCTTATTTCCTAAAGTATTTTTATAAAGGACCGTCTTACACATTATAAAGTGAACTATCGGTGGAGAATCATATATTTTATAATTATTTATTCGTTTTTATATTTACATAAATTTCTCAAAAAATAAATTCTTATATTTTTATAAAAAAATTTATATCAAGGACCAATTATTGTTTTGATATTTTTCATAATGCATTTTTTAAGCTTTTATTTCGAAATCCTTAGACCCAAAAAATGTGTAGATCCAAAATATCATGTACATTTGGATTATATCATTTTGGAATATACATTTGGATTACATGTACAATCCAAAATATAAATAAAAATATTATCTAAAAATGTATTTTGGATTATATAATAAAAAATATAATTTTTTTTTATTTTAACTTGTATATTTAAAAATATAATTTTGTATTTTAAATTGTATATTATGAAATATAAAATAAAAAGTACATTTTAAATTATATAATACTTTCAAATTATCCAAACTATAAATGCACCTATACAAAAATGAGTTTTACATCCTCCACCACCACACACTAATCCTATACATTCCCAATTTTTTTTAATTCCAAAAATATTATTTTTACTTTTACCCTTTACTATTTTTCTTATAGAAAATGTTGCCGTAACTATCAAATAAGGGTGTTACTACCTCCACCACTACATTTTCTCCCTCCACCTCTCCAATTCTATTACATATTTTTTGAACTACAAAACTAACCTTTTATAATTACAAAAATAACCTTTTTGTTTTTTAATCCTAATTATTTACTTTAATCCTAAAATCTATCTTTCTACCCCTTCTAACCCACCTCCCAACCCTCTCAAATTCTCATCCAAACTCCATCACATCTGTTTCTCATCTTCCATTTTTTCTTTATATCTGTTTTCTTCCTCCTTTAGCGGTTTGGCGGTGTATACTAATAACAATAAAGATCCTCAAAAATACATTATTAAAATACATCAAAATATATTCAAAAATAATATATCAAAAAATATAAATTATATTATTTAAATATCTTCAAAATTAATATAAAAAAAACTGTAAAATATAAACCGTATAATCTTTAAACGGATGTGAGCATCCGGATGCTCACATCCGTTTAAAGATTATAGGGTTTATATTTTAGGTTTTTATTACGCACCTTCACGCCTCTGAACCAGCACCTTGAAGTACCACCACACTCACGGCTAAGATGAATTGCTTTCCTCACTTTCAATCTTACTAAACACAAAGTCCACCACACTTTCACGTCACAATTCTATAAAAGAGAAGAAGAAGTGGAACATGAAAGACAACCCAAAGATAGTGGAACGTAAGAGACAACCTGGGAAAAATAATAAAGAGAAAGAGGGAAGAATGATAAAGAGAATGAATGTCCACGTGGGATTTTAAATAATATTAACCCTAAAATTTTAATAAGGGTAAAATAGGAATGAAAAAATAAGAAAAGGGTAAAAGGGGAATGGGGTGGTGGAGGAAGCAAGTTGTGTGGTGCTGGAGGGAGTAACACCCATCAAATAAAGGCACAAGTCTCTTAGCCCAAATGAAGCCCATATACTGGCCCAAATCAATTAGCAAGCGAATTTTTGTAATTATTTCAACGTCGGTGGTTACATTTCATTATTGTTATCCTACCACCGCATGTCCACGGCGACCACCACTTTGCAGATCGCCGGCAGGGTCCATTTGGCACACCCTCAGCCGAAGTCTCCTTCCAATTCCCAATTAATCACTGAAGCGTAAACTCGATGCATTGAATCCGCAGGATAACAAAAGCAGAGTTGTTGAATCTTAACCATGAGGAGGTACGGTTCGATAACGCTTCTATTTGAGTTTCTTTTTTGAATGAAACAGTCGATGTTTTGTTTGTTTGCAGAGCTGGCTTCCACAGACAGCATGGGAGGCACACTGGAGGCTCAGGAATGAAAGGAATGATTGTGAAGTTATCTCTTGCTGCTGTAGTGCTCTTGATCTGCACGCTCTCCTTGTTCTTCTCTTCAACGGGAACTTCGAATGTTCAATCCAGCTATCGCTCCGAGGTTCTTGCAAATTATTCAGTTCAGATTATTTATTCGCTGAACGTATTTTAAGCAAATCGAAGAGAATTCATTCAGCATCTTTATACATTTTCTTTTGGTGAAATGGAATTTGTACTTATATGATGTTATTATACGATTTGTTGTTCATATTTCGTTCGGTGTTAATCAGATCCATGTAGAAGAGCTCTGGAGCAACGCTGATTCCGGCGGTTGGCGCCCATCGTCTGCTCCGCGAACTCATTGGCCTCGTATCTATCTAATCTTGTAGTTACAGACTATTTCTGATACAATAGTTTGTTTGTTTGTTTTTTTTTTGCATATAACGTTCTTGAAGTTTCTGACGTTGTGTTTGATGTTTTGTCTTAGCTCCTCCGAATGAGAGCAATGGCTACTTGCGCGTTCGATGTAACGGTGGACTGAATCAACAGCGTAGTGCGGTTTGTACCTTTTTACTCTTACTGTAAACTGTAGTGTACTTCTATAAATTGTGGGGATTATCTTTTGTTTTTCTTTTGGTTTAGTGCTTTCACTCAAGCTGCAATTTTTTGCATTGCGTCTCTTATTAAGTTTGGTGAATTTAATGCTTCTGAGGCTTCCTATGTGTATGGAGGTGCAATTCTGTATATATACTCGTTGATTTTGGTATATTGATACATTATTATTTCTATGTGTAGATCTCCAATGCTGTTCTTGCTGCACGGATCATGAATGCTACGCTAGTGCTACCCGAGTTGGACGCGAACTCTTTTTGGCATGACGACAGGTAAACTGTCTTGACTCTTAATTCTTATCTGGTTTCTGAACTCCAGTATACATTCCTTTACTTTTGGATTAGGAATATTTTTTTATCGTGACGAATAAAAAAAGATACATTTGTTTTGCTTCTTGAACATGAAGCCTTTGTAGCTAATTTGTAGTGTCAAATTTTTCCTCCCCTTTTGTTTAAGTGCATCCTTGGTTTTACTTATTTTGAAGAAGAGAGCTAGCAACACACTTTTTAATACATTCCTCCTAAGGCAATCTTCATTATTGGTTAAATTTATTGGAAACTACAAAATAAGGATAACTCTTTAAATAAAAAGTAAGACCCGATTTTTTGTGATTTTCAATAGTTTTCAATTGATAAAAAATAGATTTTGTTACTAGCATTTTTCTTTTGAAGTAATAATCACTTATTTGTGTCATCTTCGTCAGAGATTTTTTGAAAAACAAGTGATTATTTCCTTGGAAGTGGATTGGAACTTAAACACAAGAGGAGGACATAACCCAAAAAACTAGTACACTGAGTGGAAAAGCCTCAAGGCTTAAGTATCACATCAAGTAGCTCATCCTATTCAATATAAGACTCCTAACATTGCCACCCCTTAAGGGCACTTTCACTTTATTGACATTAACTCAATGGTAGTTCTTATCTCTTTGACAAGTTTTTTTATCTTTCAGTATTGGGTTTGCACTTTAATCCAACCATAGGTAGGTCGTCCTTTTGGTACCATCAATCAATTGTTAGGACTTAAGCACAAGAGGAGGGTCTAACCCAAAAGTCTAATTCATTAAGTGGAAGTACCTCAAGGGTTAGTACCACTTATAATTGCTCATCCTACTCAATATGACTCCTAAAACTAGCTTCCCCAATTATGCGTTTAGTTGAAATAAATGTGCCTTTAGTGGAAGATACGAAATGGGGAACACCTTTTCAGTATATCATTGAGAATGGTTCAATTGATTCTTGACTTTTTCTGGGTCATGGTCACACTGCACTTAATGGGTTCCTTTCTTTTTTTATTACATGCAGTGGCTTCCATGGTATTTATGATGTTGAGCATTTTATCAAAACACTGAGGTATGATGTTAAAATTGTGGAAAGCATTCCAGAAAATCAGAAAAGTGGCAAAAAAAAGAAAATAAAGGCTTTTCAGGTAGAGTAATAATTTGGTCATCAATAAATAGTTTGAAATTATTTAAATTTTCTGGATGATGTATGTTCAAATGTTATTTTGGCACAGCTTCGTCCTCCTAGAGATGCTCCTATAAGTTGGTATACTAATGATGCTTTGAAGAAGATGAAGGAACATGGGGCAATCTATCTTACTCCCTTTTCACATCGCTTAGCTGAAGAAATTGACTATCCTGAATACCAAAGATTGAGGTGTAGAGTCAACTATCATGCTTTAAGATTCAAGCCACATATCATGAAGCTAAGTCAATCAATTGTTGATAAGCTTCGAACACAAGGTCCCTTTATGTCTATACATCTTCGGTTTGAGATGGACATGTTGGCATTTGCTGGGTAAGTCTTATGGGTTGGACTTGACAATTATGTTTACATACTTTATATGGCTATATGTTTATTGACTTTAAATGGGACATAAATATTGTGTAACTGTTGTTTTTGTTTTGTACAATATCAAATGTTAAATGCATGTTTTTCTTTGATTTTAAGCAATGGATGTTTACGCTGAAGCTTTATGAAAAAACCATATATAATATCTGTGGGACTTTTCTCGTTATCTTTCTCAGAAACCAGATTCCCTGTGTATGTATGATATATGACTAGTTTCGCACACATTTTCTCTGTTAATGGTTTATTTTCTACTTTTTATGGGGCTAAATTTATGTTTGGAGAAATAATTGCTTATTTTTTAATAGTTCTCAGAAAATTGACAAAGACATGATATTTTTAATAGCTTTGGCCATCTTGTTGGTGCGTTCCAGCCATTTTCTAGGAGTTCTTTAAACTGTGTTGATTGGTGTTGAATAACTTTGTTTCTTTCTATTTTTTGCTCCAGCTGTATCGATATACACAAACTATAATTTCATCCTCTCGGTTAATTTAGAGGCATTGTTCTGTGAGAAGGAGATGAAGGTGTGGTTGAGGGGTGGGTTGCTGGAGTAAGGTTGATTTTATAACATTGATGTAATGAGTTAGTGTCGATCTTCAGGTTGAGTTGAGAGGTGATCAGCATGTACCTCAGTGGAAGACAAGGTTGTTCCTTTACGATTATTTACCAAAAAATTCCGAATTGATCAACATTTTTTGTCTGACCATTGGTCACTGGCAAGACATAGTAAGGTTGATTTTATAACAAATGATGTAATGAGTGAGTGTCAGTCTTCAGGTTGAGTTGAGAGGTGATCAGCATGTACCTCAGTGGAAGACAAGGTTGTTCCTTTAGGATTATTTACCAAAAATTTCCGAATTGATTAACATTTTTTGTCTGTCCATTGGTCACTGGCGAGACATAGTTGATCTACTGCTTTTCTTGACTTTTTTGTACTTAGTTCTCTGTAATTTTGTGGCAAGGAGGAGGCTTTAACCCAATTCCATCCCAATTAAGACATTTTTCAAACAGCCTTCTTTTTACACAATTGAAACAGCTAGAAATTACAGCTTCCATCTGATCACTTTTATGGTTTCAAAATGCAAGCGAACTAATGGGTAGCTTGTGTTAGGATATTTATCCTATTTTATCATCATTATAGTGTGTCAAGGGTTACCCTATTTATCATGATTATATTGTGTCTAGGATTACCCTATTTATCATGATTATATTTTGTCTAGGGTTACCCTATTTATCATGTATTTGTGTATCAATTTATTCTTATAAATAGAAGATTGTGAGAGGGATCAATTAAGCCCTCAAGAATTATTTCTTTTCAATCTTAAGTTGGTATCAGAGCGGGTCGATCCCGCTCTGGTTTCTGTCTCGTAATATATATCTGTCCGGCGCCATAGTTCTTCGTCGCCCGCCGCTGCCCGCCGCCGGCCACC